TAGTTATAGGTGGACACAATACCTTTATTTTACTTTTATGTGGTGCTGAGGATCGAACCCAGAGCCTCATGCATGCCAGGCGAGGGTTCTACCTCTGAGCCACAACCCCAGTGCCTAGACACTCTTTAAATAAAAATTTGGCTACAAAAGGAGATGATATGAGGAGTGGGGAAATGGGGTCAAGGGAGGTGTAGTTGAATTGTGTATGTATTTAAGACAGAAGACATTTGGGCACAGTTTTTATACATTTGAGAAAGGGCAGTGGGAAAATACTGAAGATACTGTGGCTCAGTGGTAGAGCACCTGTCTTTCATGAGTGAGGCACTGGGTTCGATCCTCAGCACCATAAAAAAATAAATAAATAATAGAGTTGAGATAACTGAATAGAGGGAGGTCTTGGAGTAGGATGGGAAGAACAGGTAGAAAGATGATCCCCAAACAGGAAAAAGGAAACTTCTTTTGAGAAGGGAGCAAAGTTGGGGGTGAATGAATATGAGAGATGGGTCAGGGATAAGGATGGGAACAGAAAGTTGAAGATGTTTCTGTGTGAAAATGTTGGATTTTTTCCAGAAGTAAGAGATCAGGTGCTAAGATTAGGTGGTGGGTGGGTGGGTGGTTAGATGTGTAAGGAGAGAATGAAGCTATTAAGTGGTTATTATAGAAAATGGAAGATATTGCTGACTAGAGATTATGTTAAGTTCCCAAAGAGGTGCAGACACCTAGGTGCTGTGGTTTTCCTTCCTTAACTCAGGTGCAGGTTCAACAAAGAACAACTAGGACTGTCCATGGTAAGTTTGTGTTTTAGCAAGGCACTGTGACTGAAAGACAATGTGGAAAAGTAAATGAGGCAAAAGTGCAGTTGATAAAAGAGTGGTTAAGTGTTGGACAGTGTTATCTAATAGGGAAAACTAGAAAGGGATGATGGTTAGGGTAAAGTGGGAAGGTCACTGGACTGGAAACCCTGATGAGTAAGATGAAGGCAAAGATTAAATTACACATGATGCTGTGCTCCTTTGAAATAATTCAGATGATCCAGAGATGCTTTTCCAATGTTCCATAATTTACCTTCAGATATGAAAAAGGTGAGATTTCCTCATTCTTGATCATTAACCTTCTCAAAAACCAGCTAAGCTGGAGCTGGGGCTTAGTGATAGCACACTTGCCTGGCATGTGTGAGGCACTGGGTTCGATTCTCAGCACCACATATAAATAAATAAATAAAATAGAGGTCTATCAACAACTAAAAAATATATTAAAAAAAAGTTAAGCCACCAATAGCAATTAAAGTTCTCTTACTATCAAATTTGTGGGAGTTTATTGATCCAATCTCTCAATATGTTCAAAAATATCTTAATCCTAGGGCTGAGGTTGAAGCTTAGTGGTAGAGCACTTGCCTAGCATGCATGAGGCACTGGTTTCAATCCTCAGCACCACGTAAAGTAAAATAAAGACATTGTGTCCACCTATAAAAAAAATCTTATTTCTAGTCTCTCCAAGAAAATCTTTATTTAACTCTGTGGCACCATAGTAACAATTCTTAGGTAACTATTAAGTTTGCTTCTTCAAGATACAGCATGGTGGGCTGGGGTTGTGGCTCAGTGGTAGAGCACCTGTTTTTCATGAGTGAGGCACTGGGTTCGATCCTCAGCACCATAAAAAATAAATAAATAAATAAATAAATAAATAAGAAAGATATTGTGTCCATCTACAAGTAAAAAAATATATAAAAAAAGTATAGCATCCTTGAAGATTGTATGAATTCTCCCTACCGCCTACCCAAATCTGCCATTTATTAGA